GGACCACAAGGGCTTGAAAGTAGAACCCAACCTCAAGAAAAAACATTCAAATTTATGGAGACTAAGTGGCATGTTATGAAACAGTGAGATCAAGGAAGAAATGAGAAAGTTTCTGGAACCAAATGAACATGAATACAGAACAGTCCAAAACTTATGGGACACAGCAAAGGCAGGCCTTTTCCTATGAAAAGGAAGTTCATAGCAATTCAGGCCTATCTAAAAAAGATTGAAAAATTTCAAATAAACAACCTAACCCTACATATAGAAGAACTGGAGGAACAACCACAGACAAAGCCCAAAGTGAGTAGAAGGAAGGAAAGAAAGGAGATTAGAGGAGAATTAAATGACATAGAGACTATATAAGCAATTAGAAGGATCAGTAAATCCAGGAGATGGTTCTTTGAAAAGATGAACAAAATCAACAAGCCTTTAATGAGACTCATGAAAGAAAAAAAGAGAGAGGACCTAAATAGACAAAATCAGAAATGATAGAGCAGAAATTACAACTGATACCACAGAAATACAAAGGATTGTAACAAATCACTAAAAATAACTCTATGTCAAGAAATTTGAAAACCCAGATCATACGGACAGTTTCTAGACACATATAATCTTCTAAAACTGAATGAAGAAGAAGCAGAAAGCCTGAACAGTCCAATAACAGATGACAAAATCAAAACAGTAGTAAAAAAAAATCTCCCAGCACAAAAAAGCTCTGGATGGGACCGTTTCACAAACCGTTTCACAATTCTAAAAGGAGAATTTTATAAAACATTTAACAGCTAACGTCTATCCTTCACAGACTTTCCAAAAAATTCAAGAAGAGAAAACACTCCCAAACTCTGTTTATGAGGCTAGCATCATGCTAATCCCAAAAGCAGATAAAGATCCAACAATGAAAGAAAACTACAAGCCACTGTCTTTGATGATCATATATGCTAAATTATGAGCAAAATACTGGCAAACTGTATCCAGCAATACATTAAATAGGTCATACATCATGATCAAGGGGGATCTACCTAAGGGGTGCCAGGATGGAACAATATTCTCAAATCAAGGAACAGAAAATATTGCATAAAAAGAGGAAAGAGAAACATGATATGATCATATCAATAGATGCAGAAAAAAGCATTTGATAAGCCGCAGCTCCCATGTATTATAAAAAACACTCAGTAAAGTGAGAGTAAAGAGAGCATAACTCAACATAATAAAGGTTATATATGAAAAACCCTCAGCCAACATCATTCTCAACAGACAAAAACTAAAAGCTTTCCCACTAAGATCAGGAACAAGACAAGGGTGTCCACTTTCATCACTTCTATTGAACATAGTATTAGAAGTTCTAGCAAAAGCAATCAGACAAAAACAAACAAACAAACAAATAAATAAATTTTAAAAAGCGTTCAGATTGGAAAGGAGGAAGTAAAACTGTCACTGTTTGCAGTTGATATGATAATGTACATAGAAAATCCTATGGACTCCACCATAAAACTACTTGACCTAATAAGTGAATTTGGAAAAACGGTGGGATATAAGGTCAATATTCAGAAATCAAAGGCATTTTTGTACAACAACAATGAAATACCAGAAACAGAAATCAGGAAAAAATTCTATTTGCTATAGAAACAAGAAAAAAAAGTACCTAGGAATAAACCTTACTGAGGAGTTAAAAGACCTGTACTCGCAAAACTACAGAACACTGAAGAAAGAAATTTAGAAGACACAAATAAATGGAAGCATATGCCATGTTTATGGATCGGGAAAATTAATATCATCATAATCCCCATTATATCCAAAGTAATTTATAAATTCAACACAATTCCTATTAAAATACCAATGATATATTTCAAAGATACAGAATAAATATTTCAAAAAATTATATGGAACCATAACAAACTCTGAATAGCCACAGCCATTTTGAGAAAGAAGATCAAAGTAGGACCTACTATCAAAGTAGGGCCATATTACAAGGCCACTGTAATCAAAACGGTCTGGTACTGGCATAAGAACAGACACATAGGCCAATGGAACCGAATAGAGAGCCCAGAAATAAATCCAGTCCCTATGGTCAATTAATAAGTGACAAAAGGTATGGGAGCATAAAATGGAGTAAAAATAGCCTCTTCAACAAATGGTTTGGGGAGTCTAGACAGCTACATGCAAAAAAATGGAAACTCAACCACCAACAACTTACACAATACACAAAAATAATTCAAGGTGGATAAAAGACTTAAATATAAGTTATGACACCATAAAAGTTCTAGAGGAGAACACAGGCAGGAAAATTTCAGATACTCTGCTCAGCACTATTTTCACCAATATGTCCCCTAGAGCAAAAGATATAAAGGAAGGAATAAGCAAATGGGACTATATCAAATTAAAAGACTTTTGCATAGCTAAAGAAAACATCAGCAAAATGAAAATGGAACCAACTGTATGGGAAAATATATTTGCCAACGATATCTTGGAGAAGTGTTTGATCTCCAAAATATATAAAGAAATCATACATCTCCTCTGCAGAGAAACAATTTAATTAAAAAGAGGGCAAAAGACCCGAACAGACACTTCTCCAAGGAGAATGTCAGAGGCCCCATAGGCATATAAAAGAATGCTGAACACACGAGCCATCAGAGGGATGCAAATTAAAATCACAATGGGATTTAAGTCAGAATGGCCTTGATAAACAAATCAACAAAAAAGTGTTGGTGAGGTTTTGGAGAAAAGGGAACTGCAACACACTGTTGGCGGGAATGCAAACTGATGCAGTCAGAAATTCCATACTGTATTCCATACTGTATTCCAAACTGTATTCCAAACTGTGGAAAACAGTATGGAATACCCTCAGAAAATGAAAAGTGTAACTTCCTTTTGGTGTGGCAATTTCAATGCTGCGGTTATACCCTAAGAATTCTAAAACCAATTCAAGAGAACCTGCATACTCCAATGTTCTATCTTGAATTCTTACATTTGTATTTTGTGGTCTTTTTTTTCTTCACATTTGTTTTCATAGAAGTGTTTACCTGTCCTTTTTCTTTTTTAAAATCTTTCTCTGAGGATATGTTTATTGATCTTTGAGAGAAACGGGGGGCGGGGAGAGGGAGAGAGAGAGAGATCAATGTGAGAGGGAAAGATAGATTTGAGGGAAAACCATCAATTAGTTGCTATTACTATGTGCCCCAACTGGACTGAAATCTTTTGGTGTATAGGATAATGCTTGAGCCAATTGAACTACCTGGCCAAGGCATGATCGCCTCTTAAATACTTAAAATTTTATGGTAATGTAGTTGGTTACATCTTGATATGCCCAATGGTAACATTCTAGGGAGTATTCTTCATCTCTTGGTAAGCTTTATGGTTTTATATTTTTGGATTAGAATATCTTTAACTGATTTTTACCAATTCCGTTTTCACTACTCATTGCTGAGTAAGTTGGATTTCCCAAGACTAGCTTTTTGTTAGAGGTATGAGGAAGCTTCCAGTGTAACTTTCCATGCTTCACACCCCAGTGCTTCCCTCTATCTGGCCTGCATCAGAGATAGGGCTCTTTCCTATAAATATGGCCCATCCATGTGATTTTTTTTGCATCTGTGAGATTTTTTGAAGAGTCTTATCTCCTGATTCTTTGAACCTATGTAGGTGTGGACATATTCTGCTGCTTTCTTGCTTCTGCCATGAAATATGGCTTGTGTCCTTCACGATGTGCTCTTCACCTTAGAGCATGCTTTTGTTCATGGTGCATGGGTTCTTTCAACCCTAAATCCTTTCATTTCTCTGTGGTTTTGTCTTTGCTTCCTCCTTTGTACTTTCAGCCTAATTCCAGTTGCCTCTGGCAGTTTTTACAGGTTAGTTTGAAGTTTGTAGATTGTTATCTGTCTCCTAGTTGCCTGAATATGGAGATTGAAAATTTCATACAACTTTTTCATTGTCCTTTTGTGTTTGTTTGCATTCTGGAAGAGAAGAATAAAGTTCTATTGTGTTCATTATCATGGATAAGAACAGTAGTTTCACAAAGGTTACATAACTTGGTTATTGTCACTCAACAATAGGCAGAGTGAGGATTCAAAATCAAGTTTAAGAAAACTTGTGTTTTGTCACTATAACTTGGTGTATCTTCAGGACTGGAAATATAGTCACAGCAGCATAGTTATATAGTGAAAGGAAACTTACTCTCATTGGATAGTCATTATGGAGGTAGATGCACGTAAGTAGCAAGTGATGATTATGGAAAATTTTTGCATCTTCATTTAGTGGATCATTAAGAACTGTATGATCTTCTGTAGCTTCAAGTTTCCTCCCTTCCTCTCTTCTATCCTCTGTTCTTCCATTTTTTCCTTCTTTCTGTGACCCAAAAAGGAGACTCTAGCTGGATAAGGCTTTGCTCTTATCTGCTGTCTTTCTTGCAACTGTTCTGAACGATGGTGTTTTATATTATCTACCATTTTTCCTTTCTGTTACTCCTTGATTTTTTATTTTTTATTTTTAGACCTGGGCTCACTAAAAATGTGTTCTCTCTTTGTTTTGTTTAAGGGGACCTCTAGTAAGAAATTCTATGGAGGTGAGAGATGAGTGGATAAAATATTATTTATTTTCTTATCTTGTTTAGTTTTACAAGTTTAAAGTGGTTGAGTTTCCTGAAACAAATCTAAAAATGGTAACTGCTGCTGTTGACTGTGACAGCATCCTCAGCCCTGAACATTTCTATGCCCTTCTTGAATACAGCATGGGTGGATTTGTTTGCGAATGTTTCTGAGAGTGTAAAGGTTACTGTCACTTATATATTTACTCTGTAAAGATAAGGTTCTAAAGAAAATAGAATTGAACTGCGCCAAATCATTCAGTTTTGCATTTCTGCAAAGAACAGTTTAGTTTTTAGAAGTTATTGGTGGTTGTTACTCTGTGTAAAATATAATGCTTAATTTCTGACAAGATAATTGTATGTTCAAACTTAGTTATTTGTACACAAATTCTGGCTTGTATGTTTTTTCTGTTTTTGTTTTTAGCTGAGTAGATTTGTGGGAGACTCGGGGTGAAAGGTAGATAGAGAAGATGGTGGTGTTTCCCAATGATGTTTTCCATTGACTTTGTTTCCTTTGAAGAAGACAATGGTGAGTCTTCAGGATTTTTGTGTGTATATCTATCTGTTTGGCCTTGGATGAGAGAAGACACATTCTTTTTAAAGAATTATAAGATAAAATAGTTTACCACTTCATTTGTGCTTAATTTATAATACCTGTGACATAGCATATTTTGGTCAGGAAGAGGGAGACATTTGAAAGTTTTATTTTCTATATTTCAGGGACTGCTTTCCATTGCAGCTTGTAAATAACATTTGCTGATTAAAATAATGGCTTTTCAAAAATTAATGTGTTATATAGTGAACACGTCATCTCTTTAAATCTGTTTTCTTTTTACATATCTATTATGTTTTGTGTCCTTTTCATATGGAAAGATAAAAAATTGCATTAAAACATAAACAAAATTGTAGACAGCTAGAATAAGTACAATAACTAAATTTAATACTGATATTCTTTCTTTTAAAAATAAAAGAAGAGGTACTTTCTTTTATTATTAAAATGGTAATAAAACATTACGAAAACAGATATTAACAATTTTAAAAAGGAAATAAAAATCATTCAGTCTCACTTCCTAGAGTTGGGATTCTTGATATGTTTTTAACTGTTTTTATTAAATATTATATACTTAAATAGACACAACAAAATTTACTATTTTAACCATTTTTAGTTATACAGCTCCATGATATTAAGTACATTTATAGTGTTGTCCAGTCATCACCATTGTTCATCTCCAAAACTTTTTCTTCTTCCCAAACTGAAACTCTGTTCCCATTAAACATTAAGTCCCTATTTCCCCCTCATCCATTCTCCCAGCAACCACCATTCCACTTTGACCCTATGAATTTGACTATTTTAGGTACTTCATATGATTGGAAGGTATAGCATTTGTACTTTTGTGTCTGCCTTATTTAACTTCGAGTAATGCCTTTAAAATTCATCCATGTTGTACCAAATGTCAGACTTTCTCTTTTTTTGAAGGTTAGAAATATCCCTTGTGTGTGGGGGTGGGTATTGCATTTTGTTTATCTGTTCATCATTTGAAGGATATTTGGTTTGTTTTCACCTTTTGGTTACTATGAATATTGTTTCTATGAACATTGCTGTACACATATCTGCTTAAGTCTCTGTTTTCAGAACTTTTAGTTATTTACTCAGAAATAGAATTGGTTGAGTATGATAATTCTCTGCTTAATGTTTTGAGAAACCACTATGGTGTTTGAAATAGCAGCTGTACCATTATTTATTCCCACCAGCAACACAAAAGTGTTCGTGTTTCTCCATGTCCTTGCCAACACTCTACTTCTTTTCTTTCCTTTCTTTTTCCTTTTCCTTCCCTCCCCTTTCTAAACAGTTCCTTTTTATGGGATTTTTTTCTTCATTACCTTTTATTCCCACTATACCCTCTTCCACCTCCAATTACGGCTCTCCCCTTGTAATCTTCACACTTGTTCATGCCCATGAGTTCTTTTTCTTTTCTGCTCAATCCCTCCACCTACCAAACTCCTTTCCTTTTGCCTATATTTTAATCACATTGTTTGCTTTTTCGTTTGAGTTGTAGGTGTTCTTTACATATTATCAGATGCATTATATGAAATATTCTCTAATGCTGTGCATTGCCTGTTCACTCTCTTGATAGTGTCCTTTGATGCACAAGTTTTAAATTTTGACGAAGTCCAATTAATTTTTTTTGTTACCTGTGTTTTTGATGTTATATCTAAGCAATTACTGTGAAATTCAATGTCATGAAACTTCCCTCTATGTTTTTTCCCTAAGAGTTCTATATTTTAGCTTTTAAATGTAGGTTTTAATCTATTTTGAGTTAATTTTCGTATATGGTGTTAGGGAATGATTCAACTTCATTCTTTTCCATATGGATACTTAATGTTCTCTATCCATTTCTTCTTTTAAAGACTATCCTTTGCCCATTGAAAGGTTTGGGCAAAAATCATTTGAGATTTTTGTAAGGTTTGCATTGAACCCATGGAATCACTTGTTAGAACTGATATCTTTTTTTTTTTATTTAGTTATTTTTCAAGTACAGTTTTTTGTCTATTTCTCCCATCCCAGCTCCCCTCACCCTGTGATATCTTAACAGTATTAAATCTTCCTAATAATATTAAGTACTCAAATTTATCAACATGGGGTATCTTTTTATTTAATTTCTTTCATCAGTGTTTTTTTTTAGTTTGTACCATACAAATCTTTCATCTACTTGATTAAGTTTATTTCTAAGTATTTTATTCTTCTTAATGCTATTTATTTATTTATCTATTCATTTATTTATTATTCAAGTACAGTTGTCTCCATATTCACTCCACCATGGCTCCACACTTCCCACCCTCAAATCTATCCCCATTGGCTTTGTCCATGTGCCCTATATATGTGTTCCCTCATGGACCCTCCCCTGTTTTACCCCTTTATCCCTTTCCCCCTTTCCTCTGGTTACTGTTAGTTTGTTCTTTATTTCAATGTCTCTGGTTATATTTTGCTTGCTTGTTTGTTTTATTGATTAGGTTCCACTTATAGGAGGGATCATATGGTATTTGTCTTTCACCACCTGGCTTATGTCACTTAGCATAATGCTTTCCAGTTCCATCCGTGCTATGTCGAAGGGTAAGAACTACTTCTTTCTTTCTGCTGCATAGTATTCCATTGTGTAAATGTACTATAGTTTTTTATTATCCACTCATTTACTGATGGGCACTTAGTATGTCCATATAACCCAAAGCAATTTATAGATTCAAAGCAATTCCTATTAAAATACCAATGACATATTTCACAGATATAAAACAAACACTGCAAAAGTTTATATGGAATCATAAATGACCCCAAATAGCCTCAGCAATTTTGAGAAAGAAGAATAAAGTAGGAGAGATAACAATACCTGCTATCAAACCATATTACAAGGCCACTGTAATCAAAGCAGTCTGGTATTGGCATAAGAACAGACACATAGACCAATGGAATAGAACGGAGAGCCCAGAAATAAGCCCATGTCTGTATGGTTAATTAAAATTTGAGAAATGGGGCAGAAACATAAAATGTAGTAAAGATAGCCTCTTCAATAAATGATGTTAGAAGATCTGGACAGCTACCTCCAAAAAAATGAAATTCAACCACCAACTTACACCATACACAGAAGTAAATTCAAGGTGGATACAACTTAAAAATAAGTTGCAGCACCATGAAAGTTCTATAGGAGAACATAATTGGGAAAATCTGATATTTATTTATTTAAAATTATATTTTATTGGTTATACTATTAGAGTTGTCCTGATTTTTGCCCATTTGCTCCCCTCCACCCAGTACATCCCCACTCTCTCAGGCAATCCCCCAGCCCTGTTCACATCCATGTGTCAGGCAAGTAAGTTCTTTGGCTATTCCCTTTCTTATACTGTATTTTTATTCCCATGGCTATTCTGTAACTACTTATTTGTACTTCTTAATCCCCTCACCTCTCACCCATTCTCCCATACCACCCCTCCTATCTCTTTATCTTTAACATTTGGTATTTTAATTATGATGTGCCTTCAGGTAGGCCTCTTTGTGTCCATCTTGTTTGGCTCTCTGTGCTTCTTGTATGACTATTTCCTTCACCAAATTAGGGAAGTTTTCTTTCATTATTATTTCAAATAGATTTCTAATTCCTTTCTCTTTCTCTTCTTCTTCTACTACCCCTATGAAGTGAATGTTGGATTTCTTAAAAATGTCCTACAGGCTACTTATACTGTCCTTGTTTTTTTTTCTTTCTTTCTTTTTTAAAAATTCTCTTCTTATTGTTCTGGTTGGTTGTTTTTTGCTCCCTGATGTTCTCAGCCTCTTCTACCCTATGGTAGGGTAGAAACATATCCTATGTTTCTTACTGGATTTTTTATGCTGTTAAGGTCCTCAGTGAGTTCCTTCAGCATCCTAATAACAAGTGTTTTGAACTCTGCATCTGAGAAATGGCTTATCTCCATTTTGTGTAGCTTTTTTTCTGAAGTTTTGATCTGTCCTTTCATTTGGGCCATGTTTCTTTATCTCCTCATTTTGGCAGCCTCCCTGTGTCTGTTTCTATGTATTAGGTAAAGCTGTTTGACTCTGTCTTGGTAGTGTGGTCTAATGTGCAGTAGGTGTCCTTTAGGGTCCCGTGTAACAGTCTCCCCTATCACTCAAGCTGGGTACTTGAAGTACACCCTTTGTGTGGGCTGAGTACAATCTCCTCTTGTAGTTGAGCCTTTGTTGCTGTTGGCAGATCAATGGGAGGTATTTACCCAGGCCAATGAGCTGCAATGATTTGCTGTGACCACTTACCACCAACTTCCACCCTCCATGGAGTATCAGTGGTGCAGGGGCAGGATGGTGGTACTTCTTTGTGGTCTGTAGCTGTCCACTGGGTGCACTGGCCCAATGGTTTTTTGGGTAGTGAAGGCCAAAATTAGTTTCCACTTGTGCTTTGCCCAGGGCCACCCTACCTGAGTTATAAAGCAATCTGGGATGGCTGCTACTTGTGCTGGGCTTGGAGATTTCCAGGTGAGGCCAAGTTGTTAATCTATGCTGCTAGTTCTGGGCCTGAAGGATCACTGAGACCAGCTGATGCTTGTTTAAGTGGATTTAGGAGGTTGTGAAGCATAAGCCAAGATCAGCCATTTATGTGGAAAAGGAGCTTGGCTGGGCCCTTAAGTTGGTAGGGTAGAGTCCCTGGGGATCTCCATGTTAGGTCAGTGTTAATCAGGTTGATGGCATCTTAGATGTGTCAATGGTCTGCCTGCTCTGTGTGGGAGGGCTCAGAAAAGGGACAATAGCTTCTGCTCACCTTGATGCCAGACACCTCAGCCTTCCCTTGCATGCCACTGGTGCCCCTCAAGCTTCCTCCCTAATGTGAGAGCCCAGAGGGAGTGAGTCTGAGTAGGTAAGACTATGTATGGTTCTTTAAGAGGAACTTCTTGGTGCTCTAGAATTTTCTTCCACCAACCCAATCCCCAATAGTTTTTGCAGTCAGAAGTTGTGGGAACTTATCTTCCTGGCACTAGAAACCTTGGCTGGGGGCT